GGCTGATGTCACTACGAGTCTGCTCATGCTGAGTTTCACAGCACATGGGAAAGAAGGTGGACACAAGCTTCCTGCTAGTAAGTACCTTTCACCTCAAATTATAAGTACTACGGGAAAATAATGTTTTCCTGAGTTTTAACATGATCAGAAAAGGCCTAAGACATTTTGTGACAATGGTAATTTCTCTGTTTTTGTGGTTTGGCCTTTGACTAGAGTCAAAAGAAGCAACATAAATGCAACCCAAGCCTCTCGTACGACACTTTGCTGCATAAAGAAATCAAATAAATACTTCCGTTGTCCACCATCCTGCTGTTTATTTCCACATATGGAGAAAAAAGTAACCATATGCTGCTGCTGTACGAGGCAGTGAAGGTTGTGCTGTGAGGAAACCATTGACCAGATGCGAACACTCCTGCCATAAACCTGCACCCTTTAGTCTCCTGCAAATGCTCAAACCACCACAGTTTTTAGGTCTCTCCACCTCTCTGGGGCACAGCAAAGATGCAATACTGGGAACGTAATAGCATATTAACACATTGTCATCTTATACAGCGCTGCTATACATAATGGAGCTGAGGAGTTTATTTAAAGCCATACTTACGACAAGCAGAATGCATTTTTAATCGTACAATTTTCCACCTTACTCTGTTCTGCTGCTTACATCTGCGTCCTTTTTAAACAGCATTTCTGAATTTTCTTTTAAGTCAACCTTCCAAGTGTAACAACCGTCCATTACGCTGAGAGTAAATGGGTGTGAGGTTCTCCTCTACATCCATTCAGCCAGTTGTATGTCATATGGTGGGAGGCTACATGAGCAGTTATTCTTCAACCTCGCATGTGACTTGTGTAGTTCTGTCACAGCAGACTGTAATTACAGGCAAAGCTGACATTAGGTGTTATTGTTACGTCAACTGCAGAGACAAACTCAGGACATTTTAAGACTAAATTGAATTAGCAATTCTGACAGCCAGAAAACCCATAGCAGCATAGCAAAACCAAAACAAGTCCATGTCTGACTGGCACAACATTCATGAATCTATATGAGCTACATAAGCGGAAAAAAGTGTGCATTAATAAGGAAGATTTTCTGCTCTGGTTACCTAAGCCGATATAATACAAAGAAAATATCGGTCCTACTGTATTAAGCCTGTTGTTCTCTATAGGAGCATGATGTCTGCGGCTTCGACTAACAGTGGACAAATGAAAGTAAAAGTATGTAACGTGACGTAATATTTGCTATATTTCTAGCTCTGCTGCAACTTCAAAGCTCTATCAAGGCTATTTAAAGCATTTATTTCTTTTAAATGTCTTAAATTTAGATAGAATAATTTAGATCTAATAATAAATTTCTTTTTAAGCTGCTGCAGAGACCCCACTTTGGGATCAGTCATCTACAGGCTAATATGTGGTCAAGTCAAGTCAGTATGAATGTAAGCAAAGTTGGAAACTTGTATGTGTATAACTTATCCTGCGAATATTAAACGGCCTGCTGAGCCTGCTGTACAATGTAGGTGACGTGGTGGTGCAGGGGGCCTTGTTCCAGGCAGGATCAATTGAGAACTGGACAGACTAAAAAGCTGCTGTTCCCATTTTTAAACCATAAGCCTCTGTTGAGCTGCTCAGAAAAAAAAAAAAGTGAAAAACTTCCCTAGCTCAGCACTCAGGACAAGTGGAGGAAGTTTGAAACCGTCTTACCTGCATTACAGAAACATAACAATTTGACCCATCTGACTTTGCCTTGTTTACCGCAAGTAGTGTTTTTTTTAAACATACAACCTGATTACATGTTTCAGCACTCATCTAAGGACAATCACACTTACAGAGGAAGCAGCCCCACCACTGAACTACTGCTTCCAACTGCCTCTGCCAAGCAAAACGGCAACATAATAAATGTCTGACCTGCTTGATTAATGACAATGTTACATGTAGTTACTGGCTTAAAGAGTACTACTACCTGCTAATTACAAGACTGTCACTGCCACTTCCTTACACCTAATTGTATTGCTGGATGCATACTGGCTGATTGCACACTGACTGAACTCTGAGAGTACATTTGTAAGGCGATATGCATCATCTACTCTCTATCATTTATCTGGAATTGTCCCTTGCGCCAAATGCAAGGTCTGCTTGTCCTGTACAATGTGTGTCACTGTACCGCCAATGTTTTAGATATGTACCTCCAACACTTGTTTATGGTTTAGCTTCACGGCATGTACTGGAGCTTATTCGCTACAGAAAAAGGCATGAAGGAACAGTTTCTAAACTGGACCCATTTCTAAACGTCAAAAAACTTGCTTTTTAGTTCTGACCCTTGGTGTCTAAAACATTGCTTTAGATCTGCTCGGCTTGTTTTCATATCAAAAGTTATATTCAGGACAATCTTGTCAACAGCTTTTCTCTTTATGTACAGCTTTCCAAGTACAATGGGCTGCAAAAAGATTCTTGCAGACACTGTGCTCACAATCCTAAAAAAGTATAACACCTCTACTCATACAGGACTGAGACCATCATTTTAGGTGACATGTAGCAAGTTTTGCAATGCTACCTTTTTGAACTGCAATTGTTTGAGTTGGATGGAGGAATTAAACAACAGGCTTCATTTCCAACTACACACATCATTTAACACTGAGTATGGTGCAGATGCATGGACATTCCATCCCCACAATATCAGCAAACCACCAAACACATCACACCAAAACCTAGAGGGAATGTAAATGACCAAATCTCAACCTTTTCATTATGTTCACTTATAACCAAGTGGTGTGTGAGCCGAGACAGTCTTTATACAAAACTGAAGCAAAGCAAACTTTCCCACAATCTTTTTATCCAAATAAAATAAACCATTGATGTGATTGCGTTTGAACACTGTACAGCTATTGTGCCAAGCTCAGTGTTTATTGAACCTCTACCCTCTGTGAGTCCCCACGTGATTCAAGTACCTGTTATGTTATAATGAGCTCCATCGTAAGTCCCACAGCAGGACTTATTCAGTTTGGGTTTGCAAGATTAAAAAGTTTGAGAACCTTTGCTCCAGACTAATCAGTCATCCATGGCTAATCTAATCACACGAATGATCTCACTGCTCTCAATGGCAGGTTGGTCTGAAATTCAGAAATCTAACAACGTAAATTATCAGATGTTTTCATCTTGTGAGTTAAATCTAATACAAGTGTCAATCATACATCATATCGTACATGTTTATATCTAGCACAGCATATTTCATGCACAGCTACACTTAGGAGCAGTCTAGACAGTTTGAAGGACACTTGTGCAGCTTGGGGGCTCTACCAGCTGACATATGGGCAGGGCGTGGTGTGGCAAGGAAGGCCACGCATCTGCTTATATTTAATCATGTTCTGCTGGACTACACTCTAAGCATGTTTCGGCAGCAACGCTGAAGCAATGCTCCTTGTGCACTGAGAGAATTACAGCCTTGAGAACTTCTGGACAGGGTTAATCATTGCTCACAGAATGGAGAGATTGTGTGTGTGTGCAGTACACAACTCTGGCCAACGGCTGGCCAGCTTCAATCCTGATAAATTAATCGGCTCAAGAAGAGGAGAGGGGACCCTGTGGCCCCCCTACAACCTTATCCAAGGAGAGGTGGGGGTGGGCTGCCCGCCTAAAAACACTGCAGCTGCCACAATCACAGTCGCAGCTTTAAATCAAAACTACTTGGCCATGAGATGCTCCAGTCAGGAGTACGGTTAGATGGATATTGACTAACTTGTTAAAGACTACAGACATCATCAAACCAAGCTGTTCTCTAGTAGCTAGCTGAAAGCCTCCAGGGTGGAGTTTCTTATCCTGTCATGTTATTAGTAAACAACCTGATTCCAAAGAGGCGGTTTAATTACAGCACTGCTCCCCAATATGTTGCAGGGTCAAATTATTGCTGGTCAAACAAGCAGCTCGCGTCAAGCTAGCTAGTGTAAGGACAATGCAGGACGACATGACATGGCCAGTGTATTGCACTGTCAGGGGGACTGTGTTATGGCTTGTAAGCTAACAGCATTCGCGCTTTGTGTGCCCTATCGGGCGTAAGCATTTACACCTAGCTTGTTGCTAATACTTTAAGCTTTTATCTATTTGTCCAACGTATCAAACACCCTCACCGTGTTACTGGGTTTATTAGCCATTGCAGGCACTGCTGCACACTTGCTACACGCAACACACACAGCTAACACTGGCATAGCTGGGTGTATTACAAGTTTGTGCTCTCTATTTAAATAATAGTCACATGCAGGGACGCCAATAAAAAGGTGAAACTGTTTCTTTTATTTAAGACAATGACAGGGCTTCCGTTTTGTTCTACAGGTAATGAGCTTGCTAACTAGCTAGCTAGCCCCATTACGTGCCGTTCCCTCTTGTATTGGAGACAACACACCAAACTCCATTCAAAATCTGGGAATTCAGTGTCGGCTTTCCTATCGCAGGCATATACGTTTCCAAGAATACACCTCAAGATATTTAATAAATTGCTGATATTCACTTCAATTCGGCATATTTCTTAAAAATAAAGCACCGACTGTTTAAGTAAGCTGTCAACTTTAAAAAATATTATCGCTACTTCCCAAATACAGAGTTGTGGGCGGTAGCTAGTAGCTAGCTACGTTGGTGTGAAATGTTTCTTTAAAAAAGGAGAGAAACATGTACCTACACACAATGCTGAAGTGCGGACAATTAAATAATTTGCCTAGTTAGTCGCCGTGAAAGCTCAAAGATTAAGTTAATATCTAGGACCCCGTGTTGTACAATGTGTGTATGCTAGGATGTAGTAAATCGTCAGATTTTTCAATGGAGTTTGGCATTCATTCTCTCCGTGCACGTAAGGGGACTTACCACCGAGTAAACCAAGTAAACCACGCTGCCCACAACAGCTTGGCTTTCAACATTTCCAACACAAGTGGCAGCCAGTGGCAGCTTTACGGACTCCCATTCACCCAGGAGGGGGCCTGCGGGTCCGCGGCCTCTCCTGACACTCCGAGCTGGTCTCCTACCTCTGTCGGCCGGCTGATCTCGAACAGGTCGAGCCGGTTGGCGTTCCAGTGGTTGATGATGTCGGCCAGTTTCCTCCTCTCCTCCTCCCTGCTCCCCGACATGGTGGACAGCCTTTGTGACCCTCTCCAAGCGTCTGTGCTGTTGAATAAAACTTCCCGTAACGTTAGTCCACAGGAGGAGAAACCAAAGGTTCAGGTGTGTGTTTTATCGCCGGTGCTTCGTGTGGTCTGTCCCTCAGCTCACCGACCGACCTGCTGTCTGATCTGCTCCTGCTTCGCGTTCCCGGTGCGCCTCTGCGCGCTCCCGGTGTTGGTGAACGCGCAGCGCTGTTAACCGTTTGAGAGCCAATAGATGTGATTCATGACGCTGCTCTCCTACATGCACAAAGGGTTACTAATAAGTAGGCTACTCAGGCTAGTAAGCAGGATTACGTCAATGTGTGTCAATTAATTGAGCCAGCCATTTTTAATTAACCTGCTTAGCGATTTATTTCATCACAAACACACCAAATCTACAAGTCTGACGTTCTTTGATGAAATCTCTCAATTATTCATCTTTTTGTTTATTTACTTGAATTATAAGAATGCACTTATTGTGGAAGATAAATGTACACAAATAAACATGCAGATATGCATTAAGTTAGAAAAGCTTTAAACACTCACATTAAATGAAAAACAACAAACTACTGTAAAAGAAGCATCCACATAATTTGCTGTCTTTAAGTTTATTTGCTGAATTTTCTTTATTTTTATTGCACTGAACTGTGTAATATTTTTTTCCCATGCAAGGCACTATGAAACAGCTTTTGAAAAGTTGCGAATAAATCAAGTTTATCATATCCTTTTAGTTATGTAATATTCTGAAAACAGCAATAACAAAACAGGCAAAGCAAACCGTCTTGGCTGTTCTGAAATGGTGCTGTGTGTGTGTGTTACTGTCTTGTAACTATGGTAAAGGGATTTTTTGTGCTTAACACCAGATTTTTGTTTATTGCTGCAAATGTATATCAGATCAAAATATTGGTTATACTATTGGTTTGATGTTTCTTCTCAGTCTTCACCCTGCTTTGTCAAGCGGCTTTGCCTTTTGCCAGGTCACTTCTGTAAATAAGTAATAACATTTGTTCTAAATGATTTGCTTGATGAAATAAAGGTTGAATTTTTTTTAAAAGTACATAAAAAATTGCCTGTATTGTTTTACTGCAATTATCACAATTAGTATTGAATTAATTGTTAAAGATGGAGTTGTAGTAGAGGAGTGTTTTCTGTTGTCTCTATCTATCTATCTATCTATCTATCTATCTATCTATCTATCTATCTATCTATCTATCGATCTATCTATCTATCTATCTATCTATCTATCTATCTATCTATCTATCTATCTATCTATCTATCTATGCCTCTGCCACATTGCAAAAAGCAAAACAATGCACTGAACATAATCTTATTACTTTAATTTTTTCATTTCAAAATAAAAGTTTCTGGAAAATTTTGCAATACATGGGAACAACAGCAAAAGGATTTTTCTCATCCTGGTGAATAACTTTTTAAGACCGTTTTCTCCTGACGTAAGTAACCACGCACATTCAGTCACACACCTATATTTTCGGGATGGATGAGCCATTGTCTGCAGTTCCAGCAGCTAACTGATAACCTGTGTCACTGCTGGTTTTTCCTTCCTGTGGATACACTTCTCATAATTAAACTCATTTCCTCTGCGTGTGTGCGTGTGTGTGTGTGTGTGTGTGTGTGTGTGTTTGCTGGAGGTGTAATGCCATGTGCATGGGTATGGCAGTGCGCTCCATCTATGTAAACACCAGCTCTTATTAACACACAGTTGTCAGTGACTCTAAAAGGTCAACAAATATCAGGCAGATACATGTGAAATGTCAGGAACATAGCGGTGATGGCATCTACTAAAATAGCCGGGATACAGCTGCGGTTAGTCATGTGAGCCTCCCACCTACTCTCCCAGACAGGGTGTCCAACAGTAGCCCCGGCTTCTTATAAACACATTAGTCACTGTGCCTGAATTTGTGGGTGTTGGTCTAGAATGGATGAGTGCTTCGTTGACATCATGGGTGAGTAATGAATGAGAATGGACTTTTATCAGAACAGCTGATCTAACAGTACACAGAAGTGAAAAGTAAATAACAAACAACCTGGAGAAATCTTGAGCGTTGTCTCATACGACTGATGTTTGTTACAGTATTGAATTTCTTTTAAAAAAATACAAATAAATTAAAAACTAAGGAAAGAAGCCAGCGTGTGACATGGAGTAATAAGTACATACATTTACTCTAGTATTATACTTTGGCAACATTTTCTACGACGTCATTCTTTTACACTACTACAGAGGGAAGATGTATCTGTGTAAATGTACCTTTAAATGCATCCAATTTATGTGACAGCTATAGTTGCTCCAGTTACATTTTTACTTGCTGTGGGCTCATTTTTTAAGTGCTGCACCTGTTTGGAAACACCACAACCATGACTAGATGCAGAAAGAACTCAAAATTATCTTTTGTGCAGTATAACAAAGTTATAATACCACAACTCATTCTAAAAAAAAAAGGAATTTATTTGATCATTTTGTGGAAATTGATAAAAATCCTTTCAAACATTTTCCCAATGACCACAGCTGTTACCAATTCTGGGGGGAAAAAACCGATGGTCCTACATGCTGTAAATATTTTACTACTTACATTTTTACTGGCTCTACAAACTAAGCATTTTTCACACTACGTTATACACCAACTTTAGAAAGCTGTTGAAGGTATTGTCCAACAGCTTGCTGACAACTTGTTCCTTTGTGTATTGTCTTTGACCCATACTGGTTTTAATGTGTTGTTCAAGAATGTTTGTTTTCCTGTCTGTTGTCATCTCCTTTCTGCTCTGTGTAAAAGATCTCAGTTGTTTTTTTTTAAAGTTATTTTTTGGCCTTTTTGCCTTCATTGTATAGGACAGTGAAGAGAGAGACAGGAAAGTGGGGGAGGAGAATGGGGGAAGGACTTCCAGTAAAGGGCCATGAGTGGGATTCAAACCCATGGCCGCTGCATTGGGGACTATAGCCCCTGTACATGGGTCACCAGCTCAACCAGTTGAGCTATAGCGGAGTTTTAATTATTCAGGCAGACTGCTTATATTCTAATTTTGCTTCTTATGAATGTAATTCTAAAGTGGTCTGAAAATAAATTTTAAAAAATTACATTTAAGTTTAATTAAACAGAACTTAGCAAAACACATGCACATTTACATTCAGTAAATTACAAAAGATAGCTTGATTTAACTAGTTTCCTTAACGATGTTTAACAGTGTATTCACTCTACTTATTTGTGTAGGTGAAGCATAGCAAAAAAACACGGATCCAGATTCTATTGCCAGTGGGGAGAAGACATGTGAATTCTTGTTGAACTCATTTGACATCAACAGCAGAAGTGAGAAACCACAACAGGAAACCAGCTTTACCAGATAGCCTACCACTTCCTGTATCTGATGTCATCGCAGCTTTAGTACAGACACACACACACACACACACACACTCACACACACACACACAGTCATAAGTTGCACTGATTGTCAAGAATGTACACCCTATACAGCTGCTGCTCTTACCAGTTTAGACAGTTTCTATTCAGCAGACAGCTCCAGTAACTGGAAGAGTCACTTCAACTGTCAGCTTCTGATAAACAGCCAGTGAGATCATGTGTTTTGATCCCGCCCTGCTTTGCATTTCACACACTCACAGATGAGAATCACATGCTGCTCCGATGTCCTCGTCCTCCCAACTGCTTATCAATTATTTTGTCTCCTACTCTGACCACAACAAGCCCCTGTAATCTGTTATTTTTTTTCAATTAACCCATGATAACATTTAGCAATGCTTATCATACTTACAGTAACAGCAGATTATAAAAAGTTAAACTACGAGATGCAGACTGAGGTTAGTACAAACTAATAGAGACAGAAGATAAAACAGTCACTACAGTAAGCAAACGCTTGAGAATGGACGCTTCCAGAAGCAGTACAGAACACATCGTTAACGTACATGATGCTCATGGACCTTAGTTTCATTACAAACAAGCCAACATGAAACAAAACAGAAAGAAGAAGTATGCTGAGCTAACACATCAAACGAGGAAGCAACAAGGTGAGCCAGAGCAGTTTGTTACACTGAAAATATGTGGAGAGGAAAATGTTGGGTAATCATGTTAGTCTTGCATAGCCAGATAATTCTGGTCAATTATGGATAATTCACAAGATAAAATTGCAGGGCTGCTTTACTGCACAACCCAAACCTTTGGAAAACTTACATGGTGGTAGTGGTGGAGAAAGTGTGTGAAATGCACGGCCAGGAGCAGCAATCTACCTGCAATCTACATCTAATCAGATTGTCTCGTTACGGATGTGGTTCTATGGGTGGCAGCCTGTCTGCTGGTCCTCTACTTTGCTTTTCCACACTGATATGTCTCAAAATCCACCGGATGAATTGCCGGGACATTTTTTACAGGTGTTTGTGGTCCTCAAAGGATGGACCTCATCGATGTTCTGACTTTTCTGTGGTGTCGGAGTTTCCAAACTAGATTCTCATGAAATCTGTTTCAGACACTTCTGGATGATGTACATTTTAACATCATCAGGTCACATCTGGACACATAGCAGCTACTTAGAGATGGGATGGTAGCTAAGTGTCAGTGATTATTCCTGTGGTGTGTCGAGTACAGTGGGGGACCATAGCACGGGATTTCTGGAGAATTTAGAACTTCCTACTGTATTTGGGCACCATTGATGGAAACCATGTACAAATAAAAGTTCCTCCAAAGTCCTGCAGCGACTATTTTAGTTCTAACTCCTAATGATGAATGAAGTGTGATGATGGAGAATCTCTTCACACAGCATTAGTTTTCATCACCATTTCTCTTTCTGGCACACGTGCATTGAGCGTGCCGACAATCACAAATTTTGGGCTGCAGAGGCGTCCGCTAAGGACCCTGATGGAATTGAGTGGTTGATGACATTTATAGCCCATTTCTCTGCAGACCCATGTAGACCTGTTTAAAGCATGAATTGGCCTTTAAGTTTCTTATGTAAAAAGCTCCAGCAGTCACAATCCTGGTTTTTTGAGACTGTTGTTGGTACACTGTAGATTCAAGGTGGAAATACTCAGCCATGGTGTTGACTGCTTAGTTTGCTGATAATGCGTCTCCCAGCATATATACCTACCATATGGACCTGCAGCAAAGTAAAAAGCTTGATTTTCACCAGT